TAGTAAAACTTTTTAATTATTTATAACAAAACATAAATTTAAATATAATTAATAATCAATATAATGTTGATTTAATCTAATTTCTTTGTTAAATTAAACAATTTTTTTTAATTTTTCTTTCTTTTTTATTTTCTATAAAATTATTAAAATAAAAAATTAGTCATCATATTAATTACAATGAAATATTTTTAAAACCAAAATGTCTGTTTTAAAATAAAAATCAATAGAATTTAATTATTATTGTTTGTTAAAAATTCAAATTGTTTAATTTTTTCTTTTACATTAACTGGTTCTGTAGGTAATGATTTTTTAGGATAAGATAAACATAATTGATCTTCTGTAGAAGGAGTAAATGTTGGTTTTAAAACTTTTTTAGGACTATCAGACAGAGAAGAATAATTAGAAAAATTGCTACCTGTTTCTGTAGATGATTTTCTCTCATAAATAACATCTTTTTTTACATTATCTACTTTAAATTCTACTTGATTTTCATTATCTGATTCTGTTTGATTTTCATTATCTGATTTCACTTGATTTTCAATATCTGATTCTGATTGATTTTTATTACCAATCTTATCATCAAATTTAAACTGTAATCCTAAATCACTACTAGATTCTTCAGTTGAGATATCTTTATCAGATAATGAATGATCATTATAAGAAGATTCTAGATTTAATTGTTCTTCTGTTCTTTTAACTAATTCATGAATATTTGAATTTTCACATTTTTTCAATGTTGGTTTATAATTACAAGCACTTTCTTCATTAACTTCTGGTTTACTTGCAATTAAATATTTACACAAATACGATAAATTTAAATACATCATTTTAAGGGTAATTAAAAAAAATTAGAATAAATAATAACATTTTTAGAAAAATGATGTGTCCTTTTTAAAAAATAATTCTAAATAAAAAAAGACTTTTATAGATAACTTTTTAATGGAAATTAATTTATTTTCTATAAGAAATTATTTTGATAAAATTTCATAAAAATTTTTAATGAATAAATTAAAAGAACGCAAAGTGAACAATGAAGTTGAAGATTTAATTTATAAACAAATAGATTATTTAAAGGTAAATAAATGTTTAATAAGTGGATTAAAGGCATGTACGGATAGGATTGTT